TGTTCAGCTCTCTTCATTTCTAGCCCTCATGTTACCTGCTCTCTCAGCACAATTTGACTCTTCTGTTTTTTTTTTTCTGAAATAACACTTTTCAAGTGTCAGAAACATGAAGCCACCCTCCTTCATGATCATGTCTACTTCAATGTTTTCTTTGGCCGATAAGATGACTCATTCGAGGTCACTGGTTTTTACGTCTGACAGCTCTCGCCTTTGTTGCTGTCATCTTATTTTTTGTTTATATTTTGTATGCTCCAGGCTGGGGGTGCCTGAGGAAGGGCTGCTCTGTGCCCTCAGCGTGAGGTGCAGACCCGACAAAGTCACCCAAAGGCTACACCCCTCTCGTGCTTGGGCTCACAGAGAAGTTACAGGGCCCATGGCCTTGTTCTTGTCAACAGATGTGTAACCAAATGTGATTTAAATTGTACACAGCATTTTCATATATGACACCTCAAATCACATAGTTTTTAGAAAAAATAGCTTTCTTAGAACAGATGAGTTTCAGCAAGGGAAACAGCCATCAGATCACAATGTATATGAAATGCTGTGACTCAGGCGGCCCCATCTGACCTCGAAAGGCACAACTCAACTGGCCTCGACCTTCCTGTGGTTTTTCCACACTGTTTTTGTACTTAAATTGAAAAGAATATTAGCTTGAGCCCGCACTGTAACATGGCCTTTGTTCTTCTCCTATTTTTCCTCTAGCACAGCTGACAATAGAAGTCTTTTCTCTGACTCGGGTTAAGTACACACCCATTATCCTGCAGCCCCCAGGACCAGCTGGGCTCAGGCCTCTTGCTACCAGCTCCATCAAACACAGGCAGACGTCAGGGGCGGCCGCATGTCAAGCACCGGGCACTGTTGTGTCATGTTTCAGAGCGGGCCTCTCTCCGGGCCTTTTACAAGGATCAGTCATGTAATTCTGACTTTCCTGGCACTTCTATGCCCCAAGTTTGTTATTGCAGATCATGACAGCTGTCCTCAAATAGCAACATCACTTAAAGAATATGGACATGCTAGGACTTCCCTGGTGACACAGGGGTTAAGTCTCAGTGCTTCCAAGCTTTCTCCAGCTACTGCAACATGAGTTTGATCCCCAGTCAGGGAGCTGACCTCTCCTGTCTCTCCTTCTGCTCACCTCAGCAATGTACTTTGTCAATCTGCCTGTTCTACTCCTCATTCTGTCTCTGGTGAATCCTCTCACTGACCCTGTACCTCTGGCCTGTACCCCAGTTCTGTATGCATAAATAACTTTAAAAAAAAAAAAGACATTTTTTGTCTCTGCCATCGACATGCCTTTTGCACTAACATGCAGACACTTTGGGGCTGGGTGAACCACAGCCACATCAGCAAGCACCCCAAGGTGCCACCAAAATCAGCTTTGGCAAAATCACCCAGGTTACTTTGGGGACATTGGTATGAGACATAGCACTTAAAGAGAAACTGCAGCTCCCGTCCAACTGTCAACTTTGATAAACTGTGGACCTTGATCTAAGAGCCTACATGGGTAAATGCTGCCCAAACTGAAGCTGGAGCCATGGCCTTCATGTATGTGGAACAACCATACTGCAGGGGTGGGGGTTTCCAAAGCCACCTGTGACTGTGAAGGTAGAATTCTTCAGCAGAAGAGCTGAGGACAGATTTAGGGGGTGGGGATGAGGGTGTGTTCTGGGAGCTTGAAGCTACGAGGGTGAGTGAGGGCTCATTAATTGCTACAAGTGCTTCTCTCTATATATATGTTCTGAGCACATATAATAATCCGGTTACCAGGAGGTGCAATGACAAGAATCAAACCGTGGCTCCTGAGAGGTGGCCTAGATAAGATGGCACAGTGAGGGTCCTGGCACTTCTTAAAGGTCTGTTTCTGATGTCACACATCATCTGATGATATATCTTCACTCCTGGCAGGGGCAGAAAGGCAGTGAGGTAGTCCTGCTCTCCAGTAGCTCCCTCTCTGGCATAGACATGTCAGTGTGACCCCATGTGGCTGGAAGAATGGCTTCTTCTATGCCAAGCCCCAGGGAGCACAGAAGAGGAGCAATTAACCCTGCTGGGCCCAGGGAAGGTGCATCTGAACTTGATGTTAGAGCGTGTTTAGAGGTTTGACATGTAGAGAAATGGAAGAACTTTCTAGATTTAGGTACAGTGTGGACAAAGGTCCCTTCTGATGGGGGGCAGTAGGGCTGAGGGGGAGCAGAGGTAGAGGGTGGAGTGGGGAGGGGTTGGCACACTAAGGATCTTCTGTATAAAGACTGTGGATTTGTTTTTTTATTTTAAAGATTTATTTATTTATACATACAGAACTGGGGTACAGGCCAGAGGTGTGGAGGGTGAGAGGATTCACCGGAGACAGAGCTGGGAGCAGAACAGCAGATAGACCAAGCACCCTGCTGAGGGGAGCAGCGGGCAGGTCAGGAGAAGTCTGCCGCACCGTGCGGGTTACCTCCGGGGCAGGGATTGAACTCCCACTGAGGTGGATGTGGCCAGCTTGCAGTGATGTGTACTAACCCATTGCACCATCAGGGAGGGCCAGATACTTTTTTTTTTTTTTTAAAGATTTATTTATTTGTACATACAGAACCCAGTTCAGGCCAGAAGCTCAGGGGCGGCGAGAGGCTTCACCAGAGACAGAGTGGGGAACAGAACAGGCAGATCGACGAAGTACACTGCTGAGGGGAGCAGCGGGCGGGTCAGGAGAGGTCTGCCGCGCCATGTGGTCACCTCCAGGGCAGGCGGGAATCGAACTCACGCGGAAGCGGTTTTAGATTCTCAGTGCTGTGCTTTAACCCGCTGCGCCACCAGGGAGGGCCGGGCCAGATACTTTTTAAAGCAGCAGAGTGGTGTGATTACAACTGAAGTTGAACTAAGAGGTCCGCAGAATCTATGAAGGGCCAAGTCGTGATTACTTCTGGCCTTGCTAAGATAGCCTTCATCACAACTCTCAACTCTGCAGCTAGTGTGAAAGCAGCCATAGGCTTTTCTTGAAGGCATCATTCTGGCAGAGTACTAATAAAACTATTTACAAAACTGGGAGGAGATTTGGGAGATTGGTTGGGGGAGTAAGGTGGAGGGGTTCCTAGACTAGAGGCAGGGAAGGATGCAAGCAAGTAGAACCCTGATTATCCGGAAGTTCTTTTGGGAGTGTGAAAATCCAGACACAGCAAGGGAAAGGAGACTGTTAAGCAGGGCAGAGGGCTTCTTTTGGCCGCAAGAACAGTCTTCCACTTGGCTGATTGTGGGGCTGGAAATTGGGACTTGCCCTGTACCCCCATTCCACATTTCCTGCGGGGTGGACCTCTGAGCCATCCGGAAGCACATCACTCCATCGGTCCACCTTCAGGCCCTGGGGTCGGCACAGGGGGAGACTGGGGTGGGACCTGCTGTCCTGGTACTGGTGGAAGCCCAGACAAAGCGGAAGGTCCTGGCATTGCCCCCACTTAGTCTGAGATAAGAAGGCTTGATTGCAGCTAATTTAGCTCCAGAAGCGTTTGTTCCGGCGCTCCAGGAATCCAGGGGTGGGATGCGCAGGTGGTCCTGGGCGCAAGCCAGGCTCTGCCCGCCCGGGAGCAGGTGCTTCGGGCGCGGGACTCTGCGCTCAGGCTCTGCAGCGCGGCCTTCCCCTGCGAGTGCAGACGGCGGCTCAGCCGCGTTGGGGGGACACGCTGAGTTAGGGGAGGGTCCTATAAAAATGCGGGTTTCCACAAAGTCGTTTAAAAGACTGACTGCTGACGAAATCTGTCAAGTTTCTTTGCTCTGGTTTACGCTTGTGTCAACTTTAGGTGGTAAAAGCGGGCATCAGACTATTCGACCGCTGTGATTGGCTGCCGGTGACCTAATCGAAGTTCAGGAACCTGATTGGCTGGCACGCCTCCCTGCCGAGCAGGACTGGGCGAGGTGGGCGGGGGACGAAGGGCGCATGCTCCGACGATAACCGAAGCCCGGGGGAATGGCCGGCCAACCCACCAAGAGGTCATAAAGCATAGGGCCATGTTCTAAATACTGGAGCTGTGAAAAAAAGTGTATTGCCCAAAGCGCGCTCCGCGCTCTTTTGTGTGGCTTCTGTCTGCCCTTGATCCAGGTGCTTCGCTCTCCCTGGAGGCTCCGCAGACAGGTGCTGACACGTCTCCCTCCACTCCCGGGCTCTTCACTGCCCAAACCTGCTCTTCGGAGCCCTGAGGCTGGCAGCCAGCTCCCCTTCCTCCCCCACCTTGCAGCCCTAGTCAGGCTGAGGATCTTGGTCCTTCCCAGCTCCAAAAGGTCATTTCGGCATCTCAAGCCCAGGCCCAGAGGGGTGACAACACCCCCCTCCCTTTTGACAATTCCAACCCGAGCCTTGGCAGGAGGAATTTAACCTTACAAGAAACAAGAGTGAGGTCACAGTGGGGAGAGGAGTGTTTTCTTCAACTGGAAGAGAAACTCCAATCAGAAGGCTCACCTGTGAGTCACTGCCCATCCTCCCCTCTAGGCTGGTCACCGAGAGAGGAGAAAGGTGCAATAGCTGTGGCCTCAAGGGAAAAGGGAGCATTTTAGTAGGGCTCCTGGCTTGTAGGCAGAACAGTAAGTCTCGGTCGGTTGGGAAGCCCTGGGCCTTGCATTCCATGTGGGCTGTGATTTGCTCTCTGTTGCTTCCTTTGTGACATCTGTGAAGTGGGGAAACAATGTACTCTCTAGGCCTTTTCCAGTTCGTTCTGTTTCTCCTAAAGGAGCACTGGTGTTTCATGAGCTGGACAAAGTGTTCTGATGCCAACAATATTAACAATACCTGGCCTTTAATAAGCCTCCTACTATGGGCCAGGCACGGTGCCAGGGGCTTTCCGTACCTGAATGCTAATCTTGAGAATAATCCTGCCAAGTGGGTATTATCTCCATTTTAAAGAAAAGGAAGTAGGTTCCAAGAGCTTAAGTAATTCACTTGCTGTCACATAGCTAATACTCTCCATTTAAACCCAGGTCTTTCTGACTCCAAAGTCCCCCACAAAGGACTTTTCTCTTTGATTTGCTTTAAAAAAAAAAAAAATAGGTCAGGACTAGTTTGTCCATTTTAAGTTTTTCTTCTATCGTTTTTCTTTGATGACTACTGTCAAGCACTAAGAGAACTCCAAGCCCACTGGCAAATTAATACTGCAAATGATTGTCATGGAGATCCTGGAAACTCGATCTGGAGTCCCAATTGCTTGTTTTCTCCTGAAAACAGCCTGCATTCTGTTTTATATGCATGACCAGCACACTGCTTTTAGCTCAATCCACATGCTAAACCCATCATTGTATTCTGAGCTCCATCTTGTATGAAGAGAGAGAAAAGTGCCGGTGTTTCATCATCATCCACAAGGGTGGCTGACTTCCACGTGGTCTGCCACCTAGAACAGGTTTGAGCGCCCTTGTTCTGACTCCGTTGAGTGCAACATAGGTTCAGGGAAACTTCCTCAACAAGAAGGGTAAGGGACAGTTCTCTTGAGGGGGCTAAGAAAACTTAGGGTGGAAGTTTTCATGAGGTCAAGAACCAGAAGTGGAGGCAGAGAGGATTATCAGCTAGAGGTGGGGTCAGAAAGGATAATCTGTGGGTTACTGAAAACCAACCCAACCCAACCCCAAAGAGATACATTCCATAAAGTAACTCCACCAAAGATTAACATAGAAGGGCACCCATTACGATGGCCAATCACAAATTTTGTCCTAAGACTGCCCGCCCGTGTCCATGCAAACGTTCCCCCCCCCCCCCAATAAACCTGCCTTTCAAAATGCAGCCTTTGCCTGTCTGTGTCTTTGCAAACATCTTTTTCTTTAATAAAATTGCCCTTCGTCACTGAGGGAGAGACTGCCAAATTCTTTCTCAGAGGGACCAAGGACCCTGCTCACCAAATCCCACCGCTCCTAGCAACTTGGAAACCACAGCCCCGGGAGCCGTTTTCTTCTCTGCCCTGGGAATCAGAGAGTATTCTTGCCCACTCTTTGTGGGAAAGTCTCCTTAGAACCAAGGTGACCCAGGCTGGCCCTCCAGCCCACCCCAGAGCAACAGTGCTTTTAGTGCTGGGCAGGCTGGCATGAGACCCACTGCAGCTGTGCCGGGGGCAGGACGGAGGACGACCATGGGCCAGGGTGTGGAGCCTGCATCTCCTGGTGCCAAACTTAGACCTTCCCACTCTCCCTTTGAGATTCGGGGCATGAGCCAGAAGACTGCTCATTACTGTTTCCAGGTGCCCTCCCTGCATTTGCTGTGGGCTCTGGAGCCCGGCTTACCACCTTCCTTCCTGCCATGCTGGTTACTGTGGTCTGAGGGCTCCTGTTCCCACGTGAATGATTCTGTTGGGGGACTGTGTTAGGTTCCATCCAGGTGACTGGACCCTCTGCAGCCACATTTCCACTGTACACACTATTATAGATTTTAAGAGGTGTGTGTGCTGAGGGGTTTGAAAGTCATGCCCATGTGCTGGGGATCAGTTTAAGATTTCCATTTAATGATCATTTACTGAGCTCCTGCTGCTGACTGAGGTATTCTTACCTGGGCCATCTCATGAGGTCCTACAGATGATCATTTGAGTACTAATCCTCTAAAAAGGGTCTGTGCAGCTCTCAAGCATGAGGTGCTACTATGTGATGCCAGGATCAATATCACCACAGTTTTACAGAGAAAACTGAGCCATAGGGTAAGTAATGTCCCCATTGTGACACAATTAAGTGGCATAATGAAAACTTGAACTTGAGTTTAAGAGAACAGATGGCAAAAATGGGAACATGAACACCTGTCTGGCAGGGTTATTATAAAGGAAAATAATTGAACTTATGTAAAGCACAGGTGAGCAGTAGTGACTACACTCATGATATTTTCTTTCAAATGCAGGGTTCTTCCCAGTACCCCAGTCTCTGGAATTCATCAGAGAGGATGGCATATGTGACTGTCAGGGTGGCTAAGATACGGTCATTTCATGTGATCCTCAGGCCAGTGCTTGCAAGGTGGGTATTATCCTCTTTTTTCAGAAGAAGAGATGCAACTCCTTAGAGGAGAAATGATAATCCCAGGGCCACCCAGCTGATAAACAGGAGAGCTGGGAGCTGGTTGGGATCTGGACTCAGATCTGACCACCCGAGAGACCACACCTTTCCCCTGAAACCACAAATCACTGAGTTGATAATGAGGCTTCTAACAGCGATAAGCCTAGAAAGACTATGTATTTCCTTTGGATGAGCTAATATTATATGAACATACCATTCAGAAACTGGGAAACGGGAATGCTTTCTCTTCTGACTTGTGAAAGGGCAGAAAGGGAGAGAAACTGAGAGTAAACTATGTAATCCCATGCACACATTTGATCGTGTGTAAAATAAACACGGTAAGGTTCACGTGCCAACCTGATGGCAACAACCTTAGTACATATTTTTTAAATAGCCAAGTTTTACATTTGTAAGTGTGTTAAATATTTTAAAAATTCTCATTCTTGTACTGGAAAAACATCTGCTTTTTTTCTCTTGAATAAAAATATCTAGAAAACATATGTTTGTTGTTTCTAGTGAAATAAAACCACTGACACAGCCACATTTGTGCCAGCTGTGACTGGCACAAATAAAAATAGTGAAATTATTCTCTCAAGCCCCTCCCTAACCCAGTGAACCCAGTGAATTGGAAATGGTGATCTCCTCCTGAATTTAGTTGTCTGTTTTGAAGTAGCTTCATCTTCTAGAACAGCTCCAGAATGTAAGAGAAAAGAAATTCCAGCATCAGGTCCTTCCAAAAAGAAACCTCAACATTATCTTTAAGTCAGGAAGAGGCATAATGAGCTTATGTTAAACTGTACTCACCAAAGACAAAATGGAATGGACTCCTCCATGTGAGGAGTCCATGCCCTCTAGATCAGTTTAAATCACAATGTAAATGTGTTTGGCTGAAAAATCCAATCAAGCTCTTTGAACTAAGAGTTTTAGATTAGAACCCAACTCGTTATTGGATAACAATCTGGTTTTCAATATAAATAAAAGGTAATTAGCCAGCAAGGAGGGTCAAACCTCAAACCTTACAGGTCCAGGTCTGTGATATAAACCAGAGGCTGAAGAGATGAGTTTTCCAGGTCTGTGATATAAACCAGAGGCTGAAGAGATGAGTTTTCTTTCCCACAAACTGAGAATGATACAGCCCACAGCCCGTGGTGCTCCTATGCAAGCTAGACTAGGCGGTGCTGTGAGAGCACGCGGGGCATGCTGACGGCAGTGACAACTCCGGGCAAAGAGTAGCCTGTTGCTGAGCAAGCCTCGCCAGGGGCTGGCTTTGAATGGCACCACCAAGTCCTAAGCAGCTCTTTCTTTCATGTGCCCTTGACACACCCACCATCTTCTCCCCTACATGTGATGAACCTAAGAATTTAATGAATGAAATAGCATAGCAGCTTCTAAGAGAGGGAAGTAAAACAAAATGGAATGCTCCTGTGATTCATTTTTATCAGCCAAATTTTGTGAGCGCTTACTGTATGTGTCACGGTTGACCTGAGAGATGAGTACAATCATCCAACGAGGAGAGAGACTGCCTTGCTCCACTTCAGAAAGACACTAGTATGTTGACTGCCTGAAAATGCCTGTGACAATGTGGCCCAGTGGAGATATGATAAGAGCCACACGTTTTTAAAACTGCTTGGGAGTAAAAAGGAATAGGTGACCTTGGTGTTCGTATCAGCATGAACAACATAGTCAGCCAGTGGGGCCCAAATATTACCATTTCAACATGCAATCGACATCTAAATATGTTTGGGGGCTTCCAAACATTGGTGGTGTAAGGGTTTAAGTTTCAGCACTATGAGGCTACTGGCAGCCACGGTAGGGCAAGTTCCATCCCCAGCCAGGGAGGTGACCCACACGGCACAGCGGACCTCGCCTGTCTCACCTGTTGCTCCCCTCAGCAGTGTATTTCAGTCAATTTACCTGTTCTGCTCCCCACCTTGTCTCACCTCCCACCCTGTACCTCTGGCCTATAACCTAGTTCTTGTTATACATAAGTAAATAAATCTTAAAAAAAAAAATGGTTTGGGTACGTCTGCTCCCCACTCACGCTGAGTGTGCATCATAGGCCAGCCGTGGCTCTGTTCTGTGTCTTCGCTTGGGAAGCCAGGCTGGTAGCGGAGAATCTGTTCTCTCTAAAACATCGCCAGTCACTAATCTGGAGGAAAATGAGACATAGTAAGCTCTGCGCTGGCCCTTAAAATTTCTGCACAGAAGTGATACATGTCCTTCCCATCCTTATTTTTTTTAAGATTTATTTATTCATGCATACAGAACTGTACAGGCCAGAGGTGCTGCGGGTGAGAGGGTTCACTAGAGACAGAGTGGAGAGCAGAAAGGCGGATCTACTGAAATACACTGTTGAGGGGAGCAGCAGGTGAGACATCTGCTGTGCCATGTGGGTCACCTCCCTGGCAGGGACTGAACTTGTGCTGAACCGGTTGTGGCCAGCTTTGTAGAGCTGCGCTTCAACACTGCACCACCAGGGAAGGCCGCCTCCTTACATTATTGACCAAACCAAGTCACAAGGCCAAAACTGAATTCCAGGGAGTAAGAAAACCTCCCGCAGAATGGGGAACTGCAGAGAGGGGGCAAGTCAAGTGTTGAGGGAACAATGACGCAATGCTTCCTCGCCACCCCGGCACGCCTGGACACGCAGGCATTTCTCCAGGCTTTCCTTTGACCTCTCCATCATGGCTGATGCATCCACGTTGGGATGCCCAGCGATGACCTTGGCTCTCTTCTCTTCATTCTCAGCAGGGTCCCACGAGCAATCTTACCTAGTTAGATGGCATCTTTAATGTCACTTACTACCTTTGACTCTTCTCAGTTACATTTTCAGCTCCAGACCTGTGTAGCCTACTGTCTACCGCACATCTCCCAGACATCCCAAACTCAGCAAGTCCAGACTTGAGCGTCACCAACCTTATGCTACCCACAAGTCTGTTCCTTCACCAGATTCTCCAACTGGAGAAACAGGACAACATTCTCTCAGTTGCCTCAGCCAGAATCCTGACAGCACCTTCTCAGCCACTAGGTTGGACCACACTGCTTCAGTCCATCCCCACTGTCCATTCTCATGGTTCTGCCCTACACCTCTTTGCTGGACGATCACAGCCTTGTCCTCCTAGTTCATCCTCCATGTTGCAGCCATGATGACTGTATGAAATGCAGATCTAGTTTTGCTACTCTCCAGCTCAAAATCCCTCATTGGCTCCCCACTGCTCTGGGGATAATGCTTAATACACTAATGGACCCTGTAAGACCATTCATTATCTGGCCTTAGTCATTTTTCCACCCTCACTTCTGTACAACATCAGTTTGGCATTTTATTCATCTTGAGCTAATTTTCCTCTGTGGTCTACTTATTCAGGACTTTTCAGCAAGTTCTTCCATATGTCCAAGTCTCTTCTTTCTCCTCTGGTTAACTCCCACTTGCTCTTCAAGTAACAAGGACATCACTTGCTCTTTCCTTCCAGACTGGGCAAATACCACGTCATGGAAAAGCAGTTTAGCTAAGAGGTTAAGAGGGCACTCTCAAACCTGACAGCCCAGTTTTGGGTCCTGGCTGTCATCTACCAGCTGTAAAATTGTGTAAGAGGTACTACTGCTCTGTGCCTATTTCCTTAGGCATAGAAATAGGCAGTAAGAGCCCCAATTTCATAAAGCTGTGGTGCGGGATTAAATGAGTAAGCATAGAAAGTACTTGGAATCGTGCCTGACACACTATGGCTCAACCAGTATTTTGTCATTACTTTTACAGCACCCTACAACTACCCCTATAATTGGGCATTTATGAGAATTATAATTCCAAATTGACTTACCGGACTACTTTTCTGCATCATAAGATCCTTGGAGTTGGGACAAGGTCTTGCTCCTTACTAGTGCTCCAGTTCCTGGCACACTGTAAGCATTTATTAAATATTTGTTAAATGACTGAATTGATGAACTTTTCTCTTATGATACCATTTCCCATCTCGTATTGCTGTGAGAGTAAACTTTGTCCTCCCAACTTGATATATATGAGCTCACTGAAAGCAGGGTGGCAAGTCCAGCCCTCTTGGCACAACCTGGCTCAATGTCGCTTAGCAACAGGTTATTCTTGGTAGACACGGAGCTAATACCAGTCCAATGAAATTCTGAGAACTGCCTTTAGACTTTTCCTACATTTTCACTGGCTTCGTCCTCTGACCTACTTCTACACCACCCGTTGTAACCTGGAGTTCCAGGGGAAGACTTGTTTCTCAGACAATTGTTAGGCTACTTCTACCAGCAGGGGCTGAGGACAATGAAACTCGAGTTAGGTTAAGAGTTACATTTAGGTGAGGTGTTTTGTAATTTTTGAAGAGTACCAAGCCCAGAGCATTTGTTATTTATGATTTCGTAAATGTTACTGAAGCCCTAGGCACTTACAATTTATTCCTGTGCTGGGTAGGTTGGCCAGTTGGCTGAAGAGAATGGGTAATTAAGTAGGATGCAAGAGATGCAGGTTTCACTATTTACTTATTTTTACATTTTAAAAGGACAGGTTTACCAGGAAAAGGAGAGAAAAAGAGAGGCCACTGCACTGACACAGGCAGGCAGGAGAGCTGCCAAGACACGCAGGCTTTCGTCCAGGTTGTCAACAGTGGATGTGATCTTGGAAGCCACCACCTGTCTGGGATTACTTTTCGCTCCATTTGTAAGGTAAGGAGGTTTAGTCTCCGAGTTTGCCATTGGTGCTGACATGTCACGCCCTATCTCTCCAGAAGTTCATTCTAGGAAGATTTTTATTGCTCTAGCTGATAGCAGGAATACAAATGGTGTAAAAGAAAGCACACCAAGGGGCATTCCAAGCCCTATCGCCAGCGATGGCTGAAAATGATGATGAGGTCATCTGCACAACCACAGCTTGCAGTAGGGCCCAGAGCAGAATGTGATAGTGCGGCATGAGCGGACTGAGGACTGAACTCAAAGCCCAGATGTACTGGCTATGGTGGCTGTGGGCCAGCTACTTTACCTCTGTATCCCTGAGTTTCATTGGTTGTTTAAAAAGGAAATAAGGAGGAGGGGAGATCCTATCTGCATTGTGAAGTAGGGTAAGGATTTTTATAACCTGTTATAAAAATGATTTGTTATTTTCCCTACCCTTTCCAATCCTAGTTAGAAGCGCTTCCAGATGGGGGCCTGTGCCTGTGAAATGGGCCTTCCCGCAGGTAAGACCAGCGAAGGAACCTTCTTCCACGAAGCACACAGGTCTGTAAACATCTTCTCAAACAGTGCATCACTGGATTCAGTCCCGAGCTTCTTCCTGGTCACTGAGGATGCTTTGGTGGCTGAGGTGACCATCAGCCTTGGGGGGAGGAGGGGCACTGGGAGGCAGTGCTCACTAGCCACAATGTCCCCCCAAGAGTGAGAACCCATGATTCAGCTGGTGCTACCACTGCCATGGAGACCGCTCAGCAGCCTCCAGGAGCACAGGACCCGTCTGAGTCCTAAGAAGCCGCTCTCAGGTGGGCTTTCTTCATGGGTGCTAGTCTGATGCAGGCCCACTGGCTGAGGCAGCTGCCATCTTGGGCTGTTTTCTTGTGGTCACCCAATCACATTTTCTCACCTCCTGCCCTCTGCCCCCCACCATGCCTGCTCCTATAGGAGCCCGGTGAGCCACCTCACTATCCACCCCTTGTGATACCTAATGTCGCCTGGCTGGTGTGCGCCAGGGCTGACCCGGGAATGGATCATGGGCTTTTGGTCAGAAATCTAAAGTCTTCTCCAAGGTCACCTGGCTCATTAAGGGAAATGTTGAGCAGCGGCAACTCTATGTGTAGGAAAAGCACCCTGGGAATCAGGATTTTCATGAGATGTTTATAAATTCTGAAACAGTGTTTCAAGGAATTCTGGCCAGAAATCAGGGAGATTTATTTACTCAACTGGTTATTTTTATAGGGCAGTAAATAAAGATTCTCCGAGGCATGTCAAAGGAAGTAGTATCAGCAGTAACAGCTACCACTGACTGAAACCAGACAGGAGCTTGCTGGGGGCTGTGGGAACATTCTCCAAGAGGACTTCTGACAGGAAACTTCTGTCTCCCACATCTGGAAGGGGAGGGCAAAGCTGTTGCCAGTGGTCTCAGGCTTGGAGGGGAGCCGGCCTTGGCATGCGTGATGCCAACTTGGTGAAGAGCAGCAAGAGGAGATGGAGAGCAGGGTACCTGATGGTTCCGTCAACCTGCTGAATCCAACCAGCTTGGAGGCTGACCACATCTTGAGCTCTTTCTTATGTAAGAAAGTGGACGTATGTTTTGCTGGAGGCGTTGTGGGATTCGTTACCCCACACTGCTCGCCATCACACAGGGGAAGCCTCGGCCAGGGGTCTGCCCCAGGTTCCTCACCCCACGTCACTGTGCTGCACTTTCCGCGGAGAACAAAGAAACATCGAAAGCCTAGACCTTGGAGAGCGCTGACAGGGCACGTATGAGATGTCCTGGGAAACCCATCCCCTGTGGGTGACGACGGCCGCTGGTCTGGACTCTGCTGGACCGAGAAAGGCAGGGCACAGCTAACATGCCTGGGAGAGCAGGACCCGGTGGTTCTGTGTGTGTGGAGTTCTCTTCTGACGTGTCCTGCAAGGTCTCTGGGTCCTGTCTGGACAGACGTCTGATGAATACTTTTTAAAAGTAAGTGTCAAGCCAGAGCATCTTCAAACTGAAGCAATGGGCCAAAGTAACAAACGCTATTCTGTCAAAAAGGGTCACTTTATTCATGGACACACCGTATATAAAAGCAGGAAAAATCACTATGTTTTCCACAGCCATCCTCTCCACATTTTATGTAGTTTTCGTGAACTATAAACCAGTGATTTTCTCAGTCCTAAAAGAGAAAAAACGAGCTGGTGAGAAAATTGAGGCAGACAGAGAGTAGACGTTCAACTAGAGCTTCTCTGAGATTCTCACCCTCAGGGTCAGATCCTGTCTTTGGAGCAGAGTAGGGGTGAGCTGATCTGACCCTTAGGGCCTGGAGACTCGGGGAGCCAGAGGCTAAAGGTCACTTTGGGGAAAAGGGGAAAGACTGATGCAGGCTCCTGTGGAGACAGTGGCAGAAGTGGCGAGCACGTTAGTGTCTGTGACTCCAGAAACATTCTTTTAGAAAGGAGAAGGAAGGAAGTACAGAGACCAGGCTATCGTGAAGCAAGTGTCCTTTGTCCCTTTCTCACTCCCAAGCCTGTGGCTCAGCCCCAGCTCACGTCTGTAGCACAGGCCACGCCGCAACCGGCCCAGAGTGAATGCGCCCCACGCCCCCGCCTCCGGACAGGGCCCCCTTTCAGACGCCTGGGCTGTCAGAGCTGCGCCTCCAGGTCCACGGCCCTGGTGAGGTCCACACAGTGCGGGGCTGGTCCGTCACTCATGGGGCGCACTGCTGACTCTGGGAAAGCTCATTAAGGAAAGCTCTTGTCCTATTTACCCTGCGCCCCATTACCTTCTACAGTACCTAGCATGTAGCAGGTGCTCAGAAAACAGTCTTGAAAAGATGGAACATGTGCGCCTCATTCAGCTATCGACCTCCACGCACCATCAGACATGCTTGCCGGATACTTAATCACAGTCCCCCTCAGAACCAGAGAGGCTCGTGGAAAGAAGTAAAATGGGAGAAACGAATGGGACGTCTGTCATTTGCCTGTCAGAGCTCACAAGGTGCTACTTGCAGATAGCATTATGGGCTCGACTTCTTTTGTGCTGAGGATGAGGTCACTGAGCCTGAATTTTAGCCTCTGCCTCCACAAAATGGGAACAAAAGCACCCGCGGTACCCTGAGGTGAGCACTGCAGAGCAACTAACAGGAGCCACTCCAGAGGCGCTGGGGTGGTGAAAAACCCTTAAAAACCTGGCACGACGACAGCTGAGCTGCCTCGTCCACTTGGGACCTGTGAAGGGGCTCCTGCAGGCAGTAGCAGGTGAAAGGCTGGGCACCAGCTAGATCGTTAGCAAACACTGCCAGAAACTCCGGCCAGCCTCGCCAGCATGCAAACTGGCAGAGCCGAGGCAAGAAGCTCCAGGTCCTTCCCCTGCCTCCACCCCTTTTAATTTTGTCCCTGGAGCAACCACTCTGGTAAGCCTCGCCCAATGGCGCACTGGGACTGGAAACCTATTACATAAGGTGCTTTTTAAATTCTAGCTAGAACCAATCGAGGGCTTGGTAGCACCCAGGGAGCTGCAGACAGTAAGGTTAGCACAGCAGTCCCCTGGGCACTGAGTCACAGCTGAGAGGTGCCAGCCTGCCAGGGCCCAGTTCAACCTCAAAAATCTTACTCAAGGGCTCCTGGCCTTTAGGCACCCAGGGCCGCACACAAAGCACCACGACATCTCAGAGCCACTCTGTGCTGCGTGGGGACACCTGCCTTGATGGCAACAGTCCCCTCAGGGGCCTGCAGCCAGCAGGCCTCGGCAGCCTGCGCAGGGATGGCGGGGAAGAGCACGGCGTGGGGGCCAAGGTTCCGAGGCATGAGCCTCAGCCAGGCCTTGGCTTTCGAGACACCCCTTGGGCCTCCATTTCCTCATCACCAGAGCAGCGGGTGGCTTGTGAGCACAGAGCAGACAGCAGCGTGTGCTGGGCCTCCCTGAAGTGGGTGCCCAGGGGCCTCAGCGGAGGCCCCTAGTTTCAGTGGGGCTTTCACAGGGAGCCAGGATGCCAAAGTTTAGACTGGCATCCTGGAGTCCTTTCTGCTTTAATAATTGTGACAGAAGTGGAGAACTTCTCACTTTGCTGGGAGGTCACAACACACCGCTCACCACAGAAGACAAAACTGAGGGTGGACGAGGTGAAGACCGACAAAGCCTTTCTTCTCACCCGACACAGGGAGGAGTGCAAGGCCAGCCCTGGGGAGAACCCATCATTGCACATGTCCGCCAGAGTCCTGTGTCCCGACTACACAGAGGGTTTGTTAGAAAAGGCAGGTGACTTAGTAAGAAAATGAACAAAAGACCGGAACTGGCCCTTCACAAGCGAGGCTATCTGAACAGCGCTGGCTCTCTTGGTCACCAGGGAAAGGCAAGTTCAGACTGCACACAGCAGCCCCGCCCCCCTAGCAGTGTGGGGGATGAGATGCTCCTGCGCAGCACGCACTGGCCTCTGCAGGGAATGGATGGGGTAACCAGGTGGCGGGTGCACCCCTGCTGAACGTGCACACACTCCAGGACCCTGGAACTGGAGCTGAGCACAGTCCCCAGAGACACGCACACCCATCCACCGAGGGACAGGTCCTAGGGTCACTCAGCAGTCTCGAGAAAAGCCCTGGGGGACACCCCACGCTGGGCCAACTGCAGCACCTGCGCTCAGTGAACTGCTGGAGGAGGACACGTGGCCAGCGGTGCCACCCCAGTATGGGGCCCAAGTTTATCTGCATTTCACACGTAGGCAGGACAGGCGCGAGGGTTAGGTTGACGACCCTCGTGAAGAAGCAGCGCCTGGCAGGCTGGGGGCGCTGAGGACAGCACTGAGCTGCACATAAGTGACTGCATATTCCAGATCTTGAGAAGAGGAAACCAGGAACCCCCAACTACAGTTAGATGTATCTGTGAATAAAAATGCAACTTATCTTAAGAACTTTAAGGTTTAGGGCCCTCCCTGGTGGCACAAAGGGTTAAAGGGCAGCTCTATGAAGCCAGCCCCAACCATTGCAGCATGAGTTCGATCCCTGGCCAGAGAAGTAACCCACATGGCACAGCAGACCTCTCCTGTCTCCTTGCCGTGCCCCTCAACAGTGCATTTCAGTAGATCTGCCTGTTTTGCTCCCCATTCTGTCTCTGGTGAATCCTCTCACCCCATCACCCTGGCCTGTACCCCAGTTCTTGTACACATACATAAGCCTTAAAAAAACAACAACAAAACTTTAAGGTTCAAATAAGCACATCACCAGAAAAAGGTGTAATGTTATCAAAGTGTTCATCTTTAAATATGTAGGTGCCAAAAAATGGAATAAAGTTTTGGTGCTAAGAAGCCAGAGGTGAGGCTAATCAAGTCAGTCTGTCGTGTTCTAGGAAAGGCTGGTAAAAATCAGTGAGGCCAGAATCCTTTTTTTTTTTTTTTTTTTTAAAGATTTATTTATTTGTGCATACAGAACTGGGGTACAGGCCAGAGGCTCAGGGGCGGCGAGAGGCTTCACCAGAGACAGAGTGGGGAGCAGAACAGGCAGATCGACGAAGTACACTGCTGAGGGGAGCAGCAGGCGGGTCAGGAGAGGTCTGCCGCGCCATGTGGCCACCTCCGGGGCAGCCGGGAATCGAACTCATGAGGAAGTGGCCCTACATTCTCAGTGCTGTGCTTTAACGCGCTGCGCCACCAGGGAGGGCCACGGCCAGAATCCTTTTTAGGGGCAAGACTAAACCTGTCTCCTTGAGCCTTTTGAAGCTCAAGAAGTAAACAGACCTCTGGCCCGGAATTATTTTTGATTGACCAGAAAAGCCAGGTGGGGAAAATGTGACAAGGTTGAAAAATCAAATGTGTCCTCTTCCCACGGGCATGGCCCCACTGTCCACAGCTTTCTGCGCTGGAAACCTAAGAGTTACTCTGACCCTCTTTTGCTTTGCATAACCCCCACTCACAGCCTGGGTGCAGGCCTCTGAGGGAGGGTTTGCACCTCGGCCCTGCCATGTGCCGCGAGGACCAGCCCAGGGCCAGCGCTCCGCACCTGGCGCTCTGGCCTCTCTAGCCGGCTCCCTCTCCCTTCTGTCCTCCTGCAACCCTGCAGCCTGCCTGCGAGTCCACTTTGAATTCCTTTCATGAAGCTAAGGACCTTGGGCAAGCTGAATGGGAAGTTGTGTCCTCTTGCCTGGGCAATGACCACCGGGAAGCCAGAGAGGAAGGAAGGGAACACTGGGCCACTTCTGCACCGTCAGCACAGGTCGCAGACACTCCTCAGGACGTCTGCCACCAGTGCGCATCTCGACGAGGGATGGGTGAGCAGCAGCGCCCTGCCGGCACCCCAAGGATACCGGGGCTGCGGGCTGAGGGGGTGCTACCCACCACCCTCTGCTGGCAAGGGGAACGAAGGCGAAAGGTCATTTCAGGTTAAAGGTCACAAGAGCAGATCATGAAAAATTTTTAAAAATCTTCCATTAAAGAAAAATTCAAACTCATACAAGAATAGCGCAGCACGTCCCCATGAACCTTCACCCACAGGGCCTGGCAGTGCCCCACTTCTTACTCCCCCACCATGTTTATTGTGAAGTACAAACCAACAATTCCAGGAATACCTACAGCACAGGAAGCAAAACAACGAAACCCGCACATCCAGCCGCAGCTGAGGGTGGCGGCGAGGGAGCTGACTCCACGGGCAGCAGAGATCCGGCCTAGACTCAGCCGGCCAAGGGGCCCCTCCTTGCAGCCCAGGCCAGCGGCAAAACAGACTCTGCATCTGTCTCCAGTGGAAATGCAAGGCCAGCAGCCCAAGGGGGACGAAGGCCTTCAGCTGAGCGGACACGGCGCCGTGTGTGACCGATTCTCTGGTGACTTTGGCTCCTCAGATTCATGAGAGCAGCCCAGTGTCTGCGGGCCACACCTTCAGCTATGTGTTGAGGCCTCAGGTGGGCTGCTGAGATGTGCCGTGCCAGTTCCCTGTAATCTCAGCAGGACCAGAGCCAGGCTGGAAGAGCACCGCCCTTTTCGGGTACCTCTGTGCCATTCATCCCCTACAGTGCAAGTCTCTATCACGCTACCTCCCCTTCCAGATTCTGAACTCCTTAATGGCAGGGCAATATCCTCACTGGCCACGTACAGGCTGAACTAGAACAGGCGGTCATCTGAGGATGCCACATGCTGGGTAACAGTGGGAGAAACAAGCGAGAACTCTGCTTGTGGGACCATAAACCGATGAAAGTGCTTTGGAGAGTAATTTGGCAATACAGTACATAAAGATGTGTTCAAATGCTTATTAAGTCCATAAAACAAGAACAGGATGTTTTAAAAGAAAGCAAAGTGAAAGGACAAAGAGATCCAAAGGAGGAGACAAAGGAAAAAATTGGAAGGAAAAGAAAATCAAAGAACCACTCTTGGGGATCCAGACATCTAAAATCTGGACGAGGCCAGTGAGAGAAATATAAACAGAAGGGAGGAAAGTTTAAGTGTCTTATACCCTTACTGCCTGAGCTTCTGGACTGCCAGGGTGATGCCCAGAACAGACAAGGATGGACCACATCACCGAGAGGCCTCAGAGAGCTGGGGGAAGTGAAGGCACGAGAGAACATACACCAGGAGTACGGCTCGGCGTGGCTTCGGGCTTAGCCACCCTGGCCGTGAGAAGACGACCTCAGCAATGCTATCAAAATCTCAGGAGGAATTATTTCCCATCTGTGTCAGCCTTAGGCTGCACTATGTGTGCGGGAAGACTAAAGGCGCTGTCAGGGCCCTCTCTGGTGGGACGACATGTTAAAGCGCAGCACTGCAAGCTGGCCAGAGCCACTTCAATGTGAGTTCCTTCCCTGACCCTGGAGCTGACCCACAGGACAGGCAGACCTCTCCTGTCGTCTGTGGCTCCCCTCAGCAGTGTACCTCATCCATCTGCCTGTTCTGCTCCCTGCTCTGTCTCTGGTGAATCCTCTCACTGCCCCTGCACCTCTGGCCTGTACCCCAGTTCTGTATGCATAATTAAATACATCTTAAAAAAACAAAAAAAAAAGAGACATTTTCAGCCACACCTGGTCTAAAAATTTGCTACCATGCTTCCCTTCTAGGAAACTACTGGAAACTAGCACATGTACTGTGAGAGTAAGAGGCACACAGCCCTGGAGACGGAGTTCCCTCCAGCCCCACCCCCGAGGTGACAGGTCCTGACAACCTCTGGAAAAATGAGGTTTTGGCAGGTGACAGGAGGAACATTATGAACAGTCAACTCTGAAGACTGACTTGACAAAGCCACAAGCTGCACAGGAGGGGCCCGGGGCCTGGAGGAGTGTGGCTACCTTGGAGCCAGCTGATGGTGGCTACACCTGCAGAGAAGCAGTGCAGGGAGCTTCGTTAGAGAACTGGAGCTGAAAACAAAACAGCCTGGAAGAGCTGGCGGCTCTGACTTGGGGGGACGAGGAGGGAAAGGGCGAGGTCCTGCTGTTTTTACAATGATAAGCATTTCTAACTCCAGAAATATAAACATCAGGGGGGAAAGTGTGCACGGGGGGAAGCCTGGAGAGGCAGACGCCTTCCCACAGCACCTGACTTTCTTAGGGGCTGGATTCTAGGGCATGTGCTGAGGCACGTTACTGCACGCCAGCTCACGGCTGCCCAAGTCCACACGTCACAAGGACCTGAAGGACAGAGTTCGACGGGTGTGGAGGACACTTGGTCCCACAGCACCGAGCAGGGTTCTCTGAAGCGCTTACCAGCTGTGAAAATGCCTTTGGTGCCCTGTCTCACACTTGATGGTCTCACGATCGCTGTAAGTCCTGTGAAGAGAATGACCAGGATGTTAGTCACCTGAACACTTTCAATACCTAAAATGAAGATGCTTTCTAGTTACTAAATAAAACCAGCAAGTCTAACTCTGTCCTGATGTCACAGTGATAGTGAAAAAAATGTGTCATGATCCTGGGCCAGGAGACGAACTGTTGCGGTGTGAGTGACCAGCTGGGAAAGCACTCTAGGCCTGCACCTCACTTTAAAATAGGCTGGGCTAGGAGGTGACCCTCATGATCATGTTACGACTTCCAATGGGCTTATAGCATGTGTAAAAAGAGAAGAGTTTGCCCGCAAGGAGGATTTCTCAGTGAAGAGCCAGGTCAGCACCTCACGCCCTCAGAAAGGCAGCAATGTTCGCACAGGGACCAGGACCCTGGGGCAGCTTCCTGGGCCGGCCGGCCTAGTGGCAACGTGGAGTTGTGGTAGCAGCTGACCCCACCAGAGACCCAGCTGCCTGGGCCCTGGAGCAGCAGGTGCAGACACAGCACAGGTCTGGACCCTCAGGTAGGTGGTGGCTTTCAGTTTCACGACGTTGTCTTTACTGACTGAGCTTATCAATCACCTTTACCACCTCAATGGAAATGCTCCCTGATGGTCTGATTTTCTGGTAAATGTTAGGGAGACCTAGAAATGAACTGTGGGCGGGGGCCCCTGTCAGAGGGGAACATGAGGTGGGGCCGATAAGGGCGGTGCTGCTGGTGTTACTTCAGAATGGCTGTCTCTTGAGGTTAAAACGCCTCCAAAGGCCACCTGCCTTTCCTGCTTTGGCCACCGTGAAGAACAGACATTTCTTTGAAATAACTTGCAGAGGGTACGCTCCTGGGACCAAGAGAAACACTGCTTCCCCCTTGAGAGTAGTTCATGCCCAGGAATCTGAAAACAACAGTGCTTCTCACCCCTGCACTGCAAACAAGCGCACTCTTAGCTGTGGAGATGCCCAGAGTGGTAGCATCTTCTCTCCTCTCACTGGGCAAGAGGAACAAAGACATCCAGGTCATCAACTCACCTAGCCGCACCACCTCTCCACATTCGGGATCGTGAGCGACTTGGAACAGAGTTTCCTCCACATCTCTGTTTTTTCCAGGGGAGTACATAATATGATTGATTTCCTGCTGTAAGGTTCTGGGCAATGCCATCAGCTGAGTGAACTGTCCTTCTGGGCTTTTATCTATCTACGGGGAGAAGAAAACATCATTGGAAACGTGTGCAGAGAGGGCCCTGCACTTTGCAAACTGCCTGCGCTGTGACCCAGCCCCAGAGCAGGCGCAGAGCCACGGCGGCGGCTCCCTGCACTGAAAGCGGAAGGACTCGGGACTCAAAGGCCCTGAAGAAAAGCCAACTTGCTTCTGGTAACATTCCCTTTCTCCGCAAGAACAAAATAGATGCCCCTTTCCAGGGTCAACTCCTGACTGTTTTGAAATTTGTCTCTTCAATGCAGCCGCCCTGAATGTTCGCAGAAACCGCAGCCAGCGCTGTGCTCAGCCCGGCCCCGGGAGGAGGGCGGAGGGCGGCTCTACCTGTCCTCTAGCCCTTGCACACCATGCCGCGGTCTGTCAGCTGAAGGAGGAGGCTGATGATAAATTCTAACGTATCCATCCCCGAGCACACAGTAGGTACGCAAAAGGTAAAAAAATAGCTGCATCAGTAAAACTCAGTTACTGTTATTTCTTAAGTAGGTGTAAACTACATCAGTGGTTTGTTTCCAACTCATCCTAAAATACATCAAGTTGAAAGACAAGTGCAGGTATAACACATACTTGAAAGAATGTAGCGGACCTGGAAACCTCTGAATCCAAAGGTAACCGTGGGGGGAGCTTGCTTCCCTACCTCCCAGAAATACACTGCCTGCCAGGCCGAAACCAGTCACACTGCCTTAACAGCTCTTTGCACTATTTCACGAGTAAGATCTGTCTTGATTCTTCTAACAAATGTTTACATGCCACTTCAACTAGAAGCAACAAAAAAAAAGTTACATGTGGGTATATTAATTTTTAGAGTCATATTTTCCACATAGGACCAGCATTCTTAAAAACAGAATCTACTCATTCTACCATTTCTTTTCATTCAATGATTTTTTGAGTATTACCAATGCCTGGACCTCCCAGCTATATGTATATATAACATTTCTGCAAAGAAAATGTTATCATTTAGTGGCTCCAATAATAATGAAGAAGGGTTTTCTTTACCTTAGGATCTCACATTTGTCATTAAAATGGCTCTAAATTCACAGGATCTGATTCCACTATACAGGTAGGTAAATGATAAATGGGATGACGGACTAGGTAAATGACAAAAAAAGGAGTATTTCTGTAAGCTATGGCAGAAATAACATCTACGGACTCCTACTTTGAGGCTAAGAATTCAAACTGCTGACGGGAGTCTTACATGTCTGTAAAGTTTTACCTGTGAAAGAAACTTCTAGGGATCTGAGAAATGTCAAACATGACTTGAGTAATACAAGGTATTAGAAAACAGTACAACAGTACTTGCCTCTGCTTTCTCCTGAGGGAGACGCACTGAATTTTTACTTTGAAAGCATTTAAAGATAAATCGTCAAATTCTGTCTGATTATCACTACTCTTTAGTTCTCATTAAAACACAAAAGTAAAAGCATTTAAATTGTGAGAGTTAAACTACATTTTGAAAGTAGATACAGAAAGCCCACATGTTCTATGACTCCATTTCATGAGGTGTCCCAGAATAGCACGAGGACTGGGGGATGGGAAGCTCGGCCCTGACAGTGGGCACAGGGCTCACAAGCTTTTCATTTGGTGTGGTGGAAGTGATCTAAAATTAGATTGTGGTGACGGGTGCTTAACTTCATGAATACACAAAAATCCACAAAATTTCATGGTCTAGGAATTATACCTCAAAAAAGCAGATATGGTTCTATGACAGTGGATGCTGTGTTGTACTAGGCAGATTCTGGCTTCAGGGCTAAGATCCTCTTTCCACTGGCTGTTGGGAAGATGATGTTCAAGGTAACACAAGAAACCAGTGACAAAGGAGATGCCTTGACAGATGGGAACCTGGTGCCAAGATACTTCAGTTATTTTTAAAAATACCTTGAAAGAAATAGTTCAAAAGAAATATGTTCCAAGGCATAAAAAAATATAACAAGTGGGGAAAAAATAAGCCACAGAATGGTAACCACAGCGTGACCTTATTTATGCAAAGAAAAAAAAAAACTAAATGAAAAAGATCCAACTTATGTGTGCATATGTGCACAAATAAAAATACAAAACGCACACACAATGACCTGGATGAACACAAGCCAAGGTGTTGAGAAGGTCACTCCTGGGGAGGCCAGGGGGTTGGGGTGGCCCCTGAAAGTGCTCTGAGAGCTCCCTTTCACTCATTTTTGACTGGTAATCAACATTCATAGTGAGTCTCAAAGGGCAAAAAAGACTCCATGGCCAAGAGCCCCCTGCACGGCAGCCCCTTCATGCTGGCCCGTGTCACTGTGAGCATTATCCCAAACACCCGGAGAATCTATGGTGACATGTAAAGCTTACTTTCTATAATAGTTTCCTAGTCACAGTGCCTTACTTTTGTCCTCAAGGAAGCCCTGGCCTTGTAAACAAGAAACCAGTACGCCTCATTGTACTGGGCTTGGGGAGACGGCATTAGCTTTGTTCTGTTTGTACAGGCTGATGGCATGTGGTGGCCATGGGCCCACCAAGTCCTCTGGCACCATCTTCTTCCCACCAGCACGTGCTCACTGTGTCTCTGCACTACCTTTAACCCCAGGATGCACGCCTTTTTTAGTTCCTAGACAGGATGCATTGCGTACCCCACGGACTATAGAAGAGTGGAAACACAATTCCTGCATAAAGTTGGTGGGGCTCCCTGCAGGGCCACAGGGACCTAGGGGTGCAGGCCAGGAGCTAGCCAGCACCCCACAGGTGTGCCTGCCAGTCATGTCCACACGCAGCTCACCGCCAGTCATGTCCACACGCAGCTCACCTCCAGTCTGCCTTGCTGGGCTTTATACACCACCTGGGGGTTCTCGTGCAGGATGTCGCTGTAGAGCTCACGGAAGTGAGCGATGTTGGGCTTCACAATGTTTGACACTTTGGTCCTGTCCTCTCCAACCACCATTCGAAAGTCGCCTGGTTAAAACAAATGGAGTAACAAAGACACTGTTGGGAACCCACATTCTCAACTATGATCGTCTGCTCCACATCTGTCCTGTGCTCGTTCAACCTGGCAAAACCCTTTGTTCAAAACATCTGGTTTCTCTCCTCAAGAAACTGGGAACACGTTCCCCTGGGGAACGCGGGGAGAAGGCACACCAGGCTACAGTAACCAAGAGGCTGGTGCATGAGGGTCTCCCAGGGAAGTGTGGGGAGCAGTGTGGCTGAGCTTTGCTGGACAGACAGCTGTCTGAGGAGGAGAGGCAGCAGGGGAGGCAGAGAACCCAGCTGTTGAGGAGTTCCCTGGAACGACGTCACAATACAACCTGGCATCTGAACTTGAATGGGAGGGGGGCACTATGACTAATTAACCAGCATAAATTGGCTTATAAGAAGTATAAACTGCGTAAAAGCAGGTCACGTGGTTACCCAGCAGTTTGTTTTCACTGGAGGGGGGATTTGGAGGGGGGAAGCAATCATGGAAATTATTTGCCACCTGAATATCCCTATAGCAAACCACTGGCTTGTTTGGGAAGAAAAGACACCCAATAGCAGGTATTCCAGTGAGGACTAAAACATGCTGGGTTTGTAAGTTTCAAAGGATCAATTTGCTGCAATTTGGTAAAAAGCTGTCAGGGTGGCAAGCTTTAGAAGTAAGCACTGGGCACTCCCCATTTTGTGAGCCGAGGTCTGAGGTTCAGGGCAGTGAGTAAGCCCTGGTCATTACAAGCTGCACAAATATGGAGGAACTCTGCTTGTCACTATCTCACAGGGGAAGTGTTAAACTTGGGATGCCCACAGTGAGGGTGTAGAGAAGTGGGTCCTTTCACATGACATGATCAAGAGCTAAGATCTCCTGGGAAACAGTGAAGGAGGGAACCTTTCTCTGAACAGCAGGCCCAAGGAAGCAAGCCTGAGCAGAGGGAAGAGCCGGACCCTGAGCACTGGCCAGGGTCAGGCCGAGGGGCTCACTGTGTGTCCCTGCAGCTGATCACAAGGCTACCCTCCGGTCCCTACTCAGCATCAAGGCAGCAAAGGCACAGAGAGGACTGAGGCTTTCCCAGGAAGTACAGGAACGTGCCAGAGCTGTAGACTCTGTAGAGTTTACAGAAGCGCTTAGTCCTTAAGTCCTTCTGGATTCTTCTGATGCCCAGCAACAGAGGACTGAACTGGCAGTATACCAGGCCCAACAGTGGCAGGCCCACTACCAGCAATCACAGTGACCTAACACAGCCAGATGGAAAATAAGGATGTAATGACGTTCAGTTACGAAAGGTACAAGAAAAAAACTTTGGAAAAAGAAAGAAAAAAAATAGCAAAGACAAGGGAATATGTACAAGGGAATAAATAAAAATGGTTATTTTTGCTCTAGTAAAAGTTACATATTTATTGTGTTTTGTGTATGTGTGTGGCTGTGCGTTACCAGTTTAGTCCTGGCAACGCCTCATAAAGGTTAGTTCCTCCCAACTTTACAGATGAGGGGAGGGAGGTGCATCGATAACTTAACCACAGTCCAGTCACCCCTCAGTATCAGGGTAAGTGACATTTTCACTGATCACTTTTACCTAATTCTGTGATTTTTCTGCACTCCCCTCACTTCTGTCAAGTTGGCACATTATTTCTAATATTTTAAAGTACACTGCACAGACCCGGCAAGTGGGCAAGTGTGCGTGGAGGGGCAGCTGGCTGCGTTTTCAGTTGTGTAAATCCACTTGCTTCCATCTATAGTCTACACATGGATTTTAGTAAGGACAAAATGTTCTCAAAATCTGAATCAACATGGCTAGCTCGAGGAGAAAGAATAGCTAGCTAGTATCACTGCTGGATTGTAGATATGTATGTCCTTTCTTCTCTTTCTGTGCATCCAAGAGACAAAAGTTCTGATATTTTAGGTAGTAACTTTTTAACCAAGTGACTGTCCATTTTACCGAAGTACAGATGCAAATTAATCCAAATCCTCCTCTAAAGAACAAGTGCACGTGTGACTAAAGGACCTGGTGTCACCAGCGCTCACAGGGACCAAGGCGAGGGCTTATGCAGCCCTGTGCCCCATTCCTCGTGCCCTGTTGGGCACATTAACGAGTGGCTGCTGCACCCAATTTCCCCCGCTGCTGGACAGAACTAGCTCAGCCACAGGGCAGCAAGCAGGCAGGCGCATTATCTGTTTCTTTAGCACAAAATGAACAAAATCATGGGCACAGTGTGAACCAGTACCTGATCATAAGAATCAATTTTCCTTACCTCTCAAGATGTGTTTGCGACAAAACACAGGGATTGAGAAAAATTGACTGCTGACTTTTATTTTGTGTCTCGATGGGTGGTTTTAACTCTTAGCTGCTCAAGCCAGAGAACCGCTGGATACTACATTAAATAACTGAGAACCAGAATGGTAATTTCCCTTTGCCTCTGACATGAGACAAACTCACTCAGAGACTTAGAAACCATCTGGAGCTGGCCTGCTGTGAGATTCTGGGATGCCACCAGCTTTCAGGGACCTGATTATAAATGTAGGCGTTTCAGGGGCTGCATATACAGGGGGGAGGCCCTGTCTTTTAAGTTTACTAATGTCCCATGGGGCCTGGAGTCAAGTTACTTAACCTTTCTGAGTCCCTTTCCTCTGTGAAATGGCTATTAACGTGCTGGCCTCACAAGGTTGCTTCTAGATTGAAAGCAAAGATGCTTTGTAAATGGTACAGCAGATACTATGGTGTCATGCTGTTTCTATGAAACAGGCAAAGGACAGACAGGAGAAGAAGCCCTGAGTTTTTACAGAGGAAGAATGTTAAACTTGTTACCATCTAACTGCAATGTTGCTATTATTTTAGTTCAACAAATATTTGGATGGACAGCAAAGGAAACTTCCATCAATGAAATGGAAGGCAACCCACAGAACCTGAGAATGTATTTAAAAAACATGTATCTGATAAGGGGTTGATATGGACAGAATACAATATGAAGAACTCATACAACTCAGTATTTAAAAAAAAAAAGGTTTAAAATGGGCAGAGCAGCTAACCAGGTACTTACCGAAGAGACAGCCAGATAGCCAACATGCCCATGAGAAAGTGATGACTACCTCTAATAATGAGGGAAATCAAAATCAAAACAAGGATTCACCACTCACTTGCTGGGATGGCTACTACCACAAAAACAGGTGACTCCAAGTGGCCAAGAAAACCCTTGTATTATGTGGGTGGGCTTGTAAATTGCTACAGACAACAGAGAAGAGCACAGAGGGTCTCAGTTAAACCAGAACTATTGGGACCTCCCTGGTAGTGCAGTAGGTTGGAGCATTGACTGCAAAATTAAGCCAAGCCATGGCTGCTTCAGTAGTCCGATCCCTGCGCTGGAGGTGACCACATGGCGCGCAGACCTCTCCTGACACTCCTGCTGCTCCCCTCAGCAGTGGACTTTGTTGATCTGCCTGATCTGCTCCCTGCTCTGTTTCTGGTGAACCCTCTTGCTGTCCCTGTATCCCATTTCTGTACGCATAAATAAATAACATCTTAAAAAAATATCATTCTAAAAAAAAAAATCAGGAGCATTTGTCTCATTAAAAAAAAAAAAAGAAAGAAAGAAAGAAAACCCAAAACCAGAACTATCACAGAATCCAGTAATTCCACTTCTGGGTATTTATACACAGGAAACTAAATCACTATCTTGAAAAGATTTCTGCATTCCATATTCATCACACTGTTACTCCAAGAGTCGTGACAACACTAAATGCCCATACAAAGAAGGATAAAGAACACATGGTGTTAATGTGTGTGTGATCCCTGAGTGTTACGGAGCCACAGGAAGACGGAAATCATGCTACGGCGAGAGCACGACTGCGGCCCGAGGGCTGAGCGGAGCGGTCAGACCAAGCGTTTGACCGCTCAGTGCGGCGTCCCCTGACCACCGGGCCACGGAGACCCACAGGCCTTCTCAAACATCTATTCAAGTCCTCTGTCCACTTGTATCTGGGTCTCTGTCTCACTGCACACTGAGAACTCTTCATATATTCTAGACACACGTGCTTTACTGGATACATAATTTGTAAACATTTTCCCATGTGATGGTGTTTTCACAAATTTTCATACAGTCCCATTAATCTATTTTTTCTTTAGTTGCTTGTGCTTTGATGTCTAAGAAACCAGGGATTAACCCTAAGTCACTTTTTGAAGAGATTTTTAGTTTTAGATCTTATATCCATCCATAAGTCATGCTGAGTTAATTTTGTGTATGGTGTTTGAGTTAGGAGTCTACTTTAACTTTTTGCATGACTAAGGCAGTATTTCTAGGGGATCATCTAATGTACCTCAAAATACACCTTCAAAAATATCTCCACGGTTGTAGAAAAGTGACGATATTACACAAACGTGGAAGAGCATAGATAATAATACAGGCATGTGCATGGCAGGCATGATAAATCTGAACCACTGTTTTTTCCTCCACACTTTAGAGCACACAGGGCTGGGTGAAGGGAGTGCAGGGAGACATCGATTTACATACGAGCTCAGGAAGGAGCCCCTATCATCATCATGCTTACAGTCTTCATTATTTACTCATACCTTGACCACACCAGGCGTTAATTATAAGCACTGGGGTGCAGTGAGCAAAACAAGACACATATCCCTGCCCTCACCTTCTGGGGTGTAACAAGGATAAACCCACAAAAATACTACAGTTATTTCAGAGGGTGGAAGTGGAAAACACAAGCAGAGAAAGACAAGGGGGGTGGGGGGGAGGGTCCCAGCTGAGAACCAGGAACCACACCTGCTGTGACAGACCCTCTGTACAGCAGAGGAGCTGAGAGCCAGGTTCCTAGAAGCAGATCTCAGCGCTGAGCTTACAGCCAGGACAAGCCACTTAGCTTCTCTGGACTTCAGAGTCCTCAAATGTAAATAAAAGCAGTAACAGTTTACAAGTTGCAGGGATGAAATGGGTTCATACATGTAGGCCACTTAGCCCTGCAGCTGACAGTAACAATCCTA